AGTCCGATGGGGTGTCACACTCTGGCCCCAAAGTCTATCCTTTGCACTTCCTCAGGACCTCCCTGCTCTGCTAAACCCCGTTACTCTGCCACACGCCTTTAGGGTTTTGCCTCAGTGTTGCGGGGTCAGACTGGGCTAGTGTTGTCCCCCATAGGGCCATGGGTCAGCGAGGGACGTGGTGTCTCATAGTGGGATCAGTCATATGGTCCACTCTGCGCATTGGCTGTTCAGAGCGGGGATATCATCCTCCAGACCTGGTGAACCAGGATGGGGAGCAGCTTGGTCTTTATCCACCCTAACAGTGGGTGTTTTTTCAGCGTTTTTTTTGAGCCACTCACATGGTTAGCAACCCAATGTCTGGCACACAGTGTCACAAGGGATCCCTCCCTGCTCATAACTATAAAACCAAACTCGGTACTACAGAACAACTAAATTCAGTGGGCCCTGCTGGTTCCTATTCAAAGGATGGCAGATAAAGAATAATCATGGCACTGCTCATTTGAAAAATTGAAATATACACATAATAGCTATAGAACATCATCAGCCAGGTTTTTAAGAAGTCACACTATTAGTTTCTTTGGGAAAAAAAATATTGCTTAATTCACAGATTTCCAAATGAGAGGTTAAGGTATGGGCTTACATCCTCCTCAAAAAAATGCATTAAGAGTTTTTCAAATACGAGAGAAGTGTAGGTAAGTATCTCTCACAACAGGGTATATATAACCAAATGTAAAAGCTCTTTGGCAGAACTCAACACATACATTATTAGAAATAAGCTAAAAACAAAACAAGAGTAAATTAAAAGCAACATTACCATACTTGGTGCCTCCAAGTTTAGGTACATTGAAGAATTTATGCGAACTGTCCTTTAATGTTTCAACAAGGTACTCAAAAGGGCATCCTGGGGATGACAAAAAAAGCTTTCATTAGATACAGCTACAAAATATTTTACTCAAAGTGAAAATATCTTCAAACCAACTTTGGTAAGAATTTTCTGAAATGGAGGAAGGTTCTACATCCGGCTGTCAATACACACAAGTCTACTGAGCACTTGAAATGTGGCTAGAGCCCGGTTTCCCAAAGGCCTATGGAGTAGTGCAATGGAAGAATTCCATTTTTTTCAACTGTATTTATTTCAACCAACCTAGATAGCCACATGTGGCTAGTGGAGATCATATGGAAGCATACAGTGCTAAGCCATGCCTCTGCTGTTAAAAACGTGTAAGATAATGAATTTCTGGGGAAGGTGGGGGGGGCTAGAAGGAAACAAGAAGAATGTAAATGATGTATAGACATATTTTGGAAAGACATGTTCTGAAAGTTGAATAAGCATACATAGAACAATTTGAGAACTCCAGTTTTAGAATTTGGTTAGGGAAAAAACAAAAACATTCAATAACCAAAAAACCAAACTCAAAGTCAATTCTGACTCAGAAACCCTACAGAACAGGGCAGAACTGCCCCTGTGCATTTCTAAGGCTACAACTCTTCATGCGAGTAGAAAGCTTTGTCTTTTTCGCATTAATTGCCTAGTGGTTTTGAACTGTGGACCCTGTAGTTAGCAGCCCTACAAGTAACCACTCCACCACCTGGGCTCCCGAGAGCATTCAACGTCATTAA